CCCCACCCCTCCGTTTTTGATCCCATTCCCCACTCCACCCCCACAAAATGTCTCTGGTATATGGTTGTTCATTATTTTTGTTATTTTCTCGCCTGTGGACTGGATTTTTAACCCAAAATTTGAAATATTAAAAATCAGAGACACTCTTTATAAACTTTTAAATCCAGATATCTTCCCAGCATTACTGTGACAGCACCATTTAAAACCTCCTAAAGCATGTTATTGTATTTTAAATACAATAGTTTCTGCTTGAATTTTCTACTAAAAGATAACACTAATCAAAATATGTCTTTGTCTATGCTACATTGCAAATAGTTTCCCTAAGCTGCAGAGAGCTGCCTACTTTAGCATGCAAATGTCATTTTATTATAGTACTATCAGTGACAGGAAAAGAAACCCCAGGTTTATGAATTCATAACTAGACAGCTGTAATGGAGCAGAAATTATTTATATAATTGACTATTTTATTTTTCAAGAGTTATAATCCTACGTGAAAGGATTCTAAAATCAAAGTAGCATAAAACCAAGCAATTTATCCTTAAGAATGCTGTGGGTCCCTACGGCGTGCAGATAGTATGTCTTTTTTTGACTTCCTTACTCATTATTTCTTATTCCATGACCTTATCCTGGCATTTCCTCCAGATTGGAGATCTGCAGAGAAGCTATGTTGCTGCCCAGAAGTCTGAAGCAGCGTTTCCAGACCACGTGGATACCCAGCTCCTAATCAAGCAGCTAAAGCAGCATTTTGCTATGATCTGATTGTTCCTTGGGCCAAATATGTTTCTATGAAGGGGGATTGAGGAGGGAAGTTTTGTGTGTATGTACATAATAATACAAACCTGTATTTGGTTCTTATGTGATGTGTGGGAGTGTAAATAATGTACAATGAAGACTTTGTAATAATTACTTTATACTATAAAAGGCAAGATTTAAGTTTTTAAAGAAAATCATGAAACCTTTCACATTACATGGTAGATGTTTAAAATGTTCATAAACATTCAAGGATTTCCTCAAATTTTTATAAATGCACATTTTTAATATTCTCAAGCTGGCCACTACTATTATGTCGCTTAAGAGGTCTGAAATCCACTTTAAAATTGTACTTTAAAATTCTACTTTTATGGTTAGAATATATATATCCTATGTAAAGACTTTAGAGTTTGAAAATTGTCTTAAAACTTTTTTCATCAACTGCTTTGTGAGAAACTGCATTTTCTTATATATTGTGCTTTAAAATAAATCAGTATGCAAAACACCATCATTCTGTTTTTTTTTCATCAGTTTCTGGTCATCTCAGATGAGACAAGTTGTTTGGAAGTCTGATAACTTTAGAAATCAATCATAGTTTTAATATTATTTGCAATGATGTGCTCCTAAAATACAACGTTTATTTTCTCCTAAGAAACTATTCATCCGCTCCCTAACCTGACTGTAGTATTAGGAAACTGATAGTGCTCCAGAAAATTCTCACGAATGCAACAGCATGAGCACAGGCAGGAGACCAGCCAAGGTTCTCCCTAACCATGACGGTGGGGCTGCACCCGCCACGCCTGGAGGAGCCCTGGCGCCCTTCTGTGCTTAGTGTCTCGCTGTGTTCACACAAGGAGCGTGTTCTGGGAGCGGCCCTCAGACTCATAGTTTGGCTTTTGTGGATCTGTGTTCTTTTTCATTTTTTAACTTCATGAAAACTATTTTAGACATACTTGTTTCTGCATTGAGGTCATAAACAGTACGGCTTTACAGCAGATCCATAAACCGTGAATTCAGGGAACTGCAGGTTGTTAGAACCTGCGAGCCCCCCCAAGTGGGGGTGGGTCCCTGGCACACTGTACAGAGCTCGAACAGCGTCCCGCTGGGCATGACGGGAGCCCCAGCTCTGCTGCAGGCCGGTTAGTGAGGCTTCGCCTTGGCTGGTTCTCCTGCCTGTGCTCATGCTGTTGCATTCGTGAGAATTTTCTGGAGCACTAACAGTTTCCTAAGACTACAGTCAGTATTTAGATTCAAATCTTACAAGGTGAACCATTTTCCTATTTAAGTAGAGCTAAGGCAGCTCCCTGCCCACCTGTGACTATGCAGGTGCCTCTCTTCGTCTCCTTTAACTAATAAACCTGTCCTTCTAAAATGGAGAGAAAATACAAGGTAATAACTGTGCCAACAGAGTGTGACATTAGAGGTCCCAGCACTTGATGTCGATTAATTCACTTAGTTTCCGCTGCAAGTCCTATGTGATCCTGTTGTTGTGACATCCTGTTACTTAGAAGAAAAATGAGACACAGAGAAGCTAAGTGATTTGTCCAAGGTTATAAAGCTAATTCGTGCCAAAGCGTGGGTTCAAATAGCAGCAGCGTGACCCTGAGTACATGCTCCTAACCACCATGTTCGATCATCTTTCAGTGTTCCCCTATAAATAAAGTTATTATCATTTAAAATGAACGTTATATGCATGAGTAAAATGGAATCGGGCACAAGTAAATGACTCAGCATTCCTAAGATGATACCAGAGATTTTTTTTTGTCTTGAAGTTATGTTAATTCACTGTAAACGCCAATGCAGAGAATGAGTCAGGGCGGCTAAGGGCAGGAGAATGACATAACCCTGGCATCAGAACCACAGAAGATCTTTGTCACCGAATTATTTCTGGGTTGCATAACTTCTGCTCCAGCATTCTCAAAGAAGAAAAGTTAATTGTCTTCAGCCGTGGCTAAAAGATGTTCAACCCAGAACTTCCAGCTGATAAAAGTGAGACCTGGCGAGAAGGCTGCTTGGGCTGAGTAATAGCTGAGGCTGGACATTCTTCCTGAATGTGTCGCACCTGAACCTGTCCTCTGTGGTCCTGACTATTCTGTGTCATTTCTGGGTGGCGTTTCCCAAGATTAGAGCACCTGTCAGAATATCATCTATAGCCTAGAGATGGGAGAATTGATAAACATAACGCTACACTTTCAATGTCGTTACTGCCACCACTCTTTATTAATTTGAGGGAGCTCTCTGAAGAATATTCAAGGGGGGCTCTCCCTGGTGGCACAATGGGTTAAAGCGCAGCACGAAGCTCTCTGCTACCACTGCAGCACAGCACAAGTTGGATCCCGGCCAGGGAGTTGTCCCACAAAGCATGGCCGACCTCTCCTGACCCACCTGCTGCTCTCCTCAGCAGTGTATTTCAGCCAATCTGCCTGTTGTGCTCTCTGCTCTGTCTTTGGTGAATCTTCTCACCCCCTGCCTCACACCTTTGGCCTATACCCCAGTTCTTGTATGCGTAAATAAATAAAAAGAATGTTCAAGGGATCGAGCATAAGCATTGAGAAAAACAAGGATGATAGAATTACTACAGTGGGACTCAACCTTGGAAAATAATTCAGAAATTGAGTTTAGATAAAAGGCCATTACTGTATAGTTTTAAAATGTAGAAATAAAATGTAGAAACTAGGTAAGTTGGGATTCTTCAATGATTTGTACCAGAGTTTCTGAATGGTTATCTAGATTTAGAAATTCAGATGGGGGATATTTAGCAATTTGAAAAATGACTGCTGTTTTATATCCTTTCATACAAATGGCATTAATCTTGTTTTGGATGATGAAAAACAGCTTTTTGAGAGATGGTGTCAATTGTCTCAATATTAAAGCCAATTTCTTGTGCTGTGGAATGGAATTAAAAAGATTAAATTATAATCATTGGGGGCTACAATATTTCTTGCAATGCGATCCTTTTCCTTATCTGAATCTTCACTAATAAAGGGTAATTGGTAAAATGTAGATGATGGGAACTCTTGGAGAGTGACTCTGCTTATCTTAGGAAAGAAGAGAAAGATTTTTCTTTCCTGTTTAGATCAGTGAGAAATTAGACTTTCAGTGTCTGAAACTCAAGTTCCTGTGAGCTCCAGCACTTCAGGATGGTCACTGGCCCCAGCTCTGGATTCCTAACTTTGATTTCTTTTTCTCTACTGATTGTTTATCTCTTGAAAAAACAAACAAACAAACAAACAAACAAAAAAACAGTCCCTTGAGCCGCAGCCCGCCCTGTTACTACTCAGTCTCCTTTGTCACAGCATCTTGAAAGTACAGATGATGTATGCTACCTACTTTCTCTCATTCATTCCTCAGCCCTCTTCAATCTGGCTTCTCCCACCACCAGTGAAACTGCTTCCATTAAGGTCACCATTACTTCCAATTAGCACATGAAGAGGTTCCTTTTATAAACACATAATAGCTTTCAGATAACATTTACATACCATATAATCCTGTTAAAGTGTACCATTCCTTCTCTTTTAGTATGTTTACAGTTGAGCAACCACCACTATACCCAATTTAAAAACATTTCACCATCCCCAGTAGAACCATTGTGTCCATGAGCAGATTATGTTGAATCTGTAGACTGATTTGGGGAATACTGTCGTCTTAACATGCTAAGTCTGATCCATGAGCATGGAATGGTGCAGTGGTTAATTTTGGGGCTTCCTATCACTTGCCCTTTCTCAGCGTTTATACTGATTACTCTCTCAAAACTGCTTGCTTCACTTCTTCAGTGCCTTCCCTGGGGTTTCTCTTCATACTCCTTAGCATGTTCCTTCTCAGTCTCATGAAAGCCTCCAAATTACCCAACAGTTTACTTCCCCCTTTTTTTTTTCTTGTCCTTTAAATCTTATTGCTGTTCAGGGTTCCATTCTTCACCCTTCAGAATTCTCACTCTCTTTCCTCCTCTCAGAGAACATTCAACCACAACCCCATGCGTGGCCCCTACTCTGCCCCAGGCCATCCTCTCCTTATGCCTGTGCTGATTCTCAGCTATGAGCTGGACTCTCCACTTAGGCATCTCAGTCACATTCAGGTTGAATGTGAAATTAAAATTCAGTGAATGAAAAAGCACTCATTAGTAGCCTCTCCAAATCTGTCCTATTTATTTCTCATCTCAAGGTAAGGATTTTTTGTCCCTGAGGAGCTCAGAGTCTATAATTGAGACATAAAATATAGAAACTCTCTAAAAGGACACACACAAGACAGTAAAAGAAATGAAAAATGCATCAGTGACTGGCAAAACAACCCTGGACATCTTACTGTCCATGCAATCATCTCCAAACAGAGAGGACCAGGACAATATTTCAAGGAACAATGGATAAAATGTTCCCAAATTTAATGAAAACTGAAACCCACAGATCGAAGAAATGGAATGACCCCCTTCCCCCACCAACACACACACACACACACACACACACACACACAAGAAGCATGATGAGAAGGACACAATGGCCTATCAACATGAAATTGTTCAATACAGGTGGTAAAGAAGATGCCTTAAAGGCTGTTGTTACAGACTAGGCTCCTGAAACCAGAAATTATTTTTCTCACAGTTCTGGAGGGTGAACGTCTAAGATCAAGGTGCCAGCCAACTCAATTCTTGATGTAAACTCTTTCTTCCTGAGCAGCAGATGGTTGCCTTCTCACTGTGTCCTCACATGGCAGAGCGAGAGGGAGGAGGGAGAAGAGGGTTGTAGTTCTGGGTATGTCTCCCTGTTATAAGGACAGGTCTTATTAAATTCAGGCCCCACCCTTATGACCTCACTTAACCTTACTTATATCTTCAAATATGGAGGTCACATTGAGAGTTAGGGCTTCACATATGAATGGTGGGGGACCTAATTCAGTCCATGGCAAGGGCTCAATGCATGCCAGTAACCCAGTGAAAAAGTAGAGATATTGAAACTGGGTGAAAAAGAAAGATCCAGGTACACACTATCTACAAAAATGCATGTAAAATAAAAATACATGACAAGATTAGAAGAATAGGAAATGATACTCCATGCTAACACTGAAGAAGATGGAGGTGCTATCTTAACCAGAGATAAAATAGATTTGAGGGGAAAAAAAACATTATCAGGATTAGAAAAAGTCCATTTATAGTGATTAAGACAGTCAGTTTATCAAGAGGACTTAAAAAACAAATGCAGAGAAATACAGTGAAAAATTTGAACAGTTCTCTTTCTAGTGATTGATAGATCAAAGTAGTTAGAAAATCAGTAAGTAACATAGAAAGCTTGACAACAGCATCAAACTGACATTTCTACCTACCACCAAGATACAAATTTAAAAAATAATAACAATATAGGAATTAGTGACTTTTTGAAATGAAGTACCATTGTTTTTGCATTAATATTGCCTTAATATTTTGGCAGTATATGTTTTCTCCCCCCAGGTGTGGTGAGCTCTGGCA